CCCACGCTTTGGTCCTTTGCGAGTTACCTTCCCTGACTGGGTGGGTCCTGACCAGTATAAGATGGCGGATGCCTTCACAGAGCTTGGTGTTGCCCACCTCAGAGAACACGCCATGGGCAATGCTGTTGGTCAATTCTGGGCTCCTGCCACCATTGATGCGAAAACCATGACTAGATCCTCGTCATTGACAGCTTATTATGACAAAGCCAGTTGGCGCCCAAACCTCAAGATGCTTACTGAACACAAGGTCACCCAACTGACCTTTAAGGGAGCCTCCACAACAGTTTCAGGCGTGAAAGCTATCAACAGAAAGACGAACAAAGAAGTGACCTTCCACGCGAGAAAGGAAGTTATCTTAGCTGCTGGTTCTCTTCACACTCCTCAGATCCTCCAACTGAGCGGCATTGGGCCTAAGTGTGTTGTACAAGCTGCAGGAATCAAGTCCAGAGTCGACTTGCCGGGAGTTGGAAGCAACCTGCAAGATCATCCTGTCGCATACCTAAACTGGAAGGTTACTAACAGTTTCCCGGAGCCAAATATCATGATGACAAACGAGACTTTCGCTGCGGAGGCGCTAGCGGAATATCAGGCTCACAGAACTGGTCCATACACCAAGGCCCAGTCCAACACGATTGCATTCCTCTCTTTACCCATGGTCACCAATAACACTGAGGATATGATTAATAGCCTGAAGCAACAAGTAGCATCCAAATACCTCCCTGGCGTGTATTCTCGCGAGCTCATTTCTGGCTACGAAGCTCAACGGGCCATCTTAGCTAAGCAGCTTGGAGAAGGTTCCGTCTCTGCCCTCGAGTTTCCATTTGGGGGTTCCGGAATGGTACCTAACTCGGTACAAAAGCCTCTAAGCCGTGGGACCGTACATCTCAACCCCGACGACCCTCATGGCGAACCGATCGTTACGTAAGTTTAACAATTTGAAAAATAGCAGGGGGAGATTCACCATCTTGCATTGTGACATTGACTGTAGTTTCAACCAGATACAACGCCTTCACGAACCCTTTCGATCGCGCTCAGCTCGCTTCCTTCATTGCATTCACCCGCCGCTACTTTAAAACAAATGCCCTCGCTGATATGCAGCCCCAGGAAGTCTCACCAGGCGAAGATGCCCAAACTGAGGATGAGATCATCGCGAAGCTTGCTGCGGGAGGCCCACTCTCACTCTCTCCGTCGTTTGCGCATCCCAGCAGCAGTTGCCCTATGATGCCCAAAAATAAGGGCGGATGTGTCAGTGCTGACCTGCGGGTGCACGGAACAAGGAAGCTGAGTATCATCGATGCTTCCATCCTTCCAATCATTCCTAGTGCGCATCTGCAAGCGACTATGTATGCCGTTGCTGAAAAAGCTTCGGACATTATCAAGTGGAGAAGTTTTTGGCCGTGATGGTGATGATGGACCGCCTCTCGCGCACCAGGATGTGGAGGTATTCTGCGAGTTTGTTTCGGGCATGTATATATTCCGTAATTTCAGACATTGTTCTTTTCAGTCAGAAAAAATACCAAATCAATTAATCAACATCACTCTGTACCTCGCAGCTTGTTCCTCCTGTTCTGAGCTTGTCAGACGTTCCCTCAGAAAATCTTACAAGATTTTCGCATCTAGTACTCCTGTCACTTCATATTTATGGGGCAGGAGCAGATATGCAGCACAGATACCCAACATAATCTACCCAGAGAATTGCGATGCACGGGCCAGGGAAAAGAATGGGGAACCCGACCCACGATCTCCCCCGACGAGCTGCAAAACTCATTCTTGGCTCCTAACGCTGAGAAGCCTCTCTCTCCGCGGTAGATTATATGGACTGAATACGAATGAGCTGTGGTCCAAAACGGAGCAAATAGGCTTTTCCGCAGAAGGATAACTAGTGCATAATGTGGTTGGGCAACTCATGATATATTATTTCGTCTTTCTCAAAGGGGGCGGGGGGTTTCTTTAGCGTTTGGATCATGGTGAATAGTCCCGATTTGATATCGTATTGGGCACCGGATATGCTTGAAAGTATCCTGTAAAAAGGAGTGCATCAGCTGCAGTTGAGTCATCTTTGTCCACATCACTTTCATTAGATAGTACTGACTCGTTCCGTCGATGAGGATTCAAAGCACTACGAACAAAACCCCAGGCTCGACACCAAATCCACACCCCGCACCTCCTTAGCAGGCAGGATAAAACAACATGTTGATAAAATCAATCAGCGGAACAAGTAGTTAACGATCCCTAATTTGATATCATCCCATCTCCCCTTGTTGTTTGCCCTGCTCTACGTAGAATCGACGTTGCTGGAAAGCTTGAGGTCGGTGTTCGACTCGGTAATTCTATTTCTCCGGCGGCTAAGCGCCAGGCACTTAGGCCCGACGCACGGTCCACGGATTCTGATGGCGCTTGCGTCTAAATTTGGAAGCTGATGAGGTCATTGGGCAAGTGTTTTGTTTGTTTGGTTGGTTGGCTTTGTCGCGGGGTGATTTTGACTTGTGTTGATTGGCAGGAAGCTAGATTCCGATGTTGAATTCGCTGGGGACGATTGGAATATTCACTAGGTTATTTACAATTTTAAGAGAACGTCTGCATGTGTTTTGTGAGGGGCTTCCATGGCGATATTTTGTGGTCGTGGTGGTGCATCAATAAAGAGATTACGATAATATATATATATATCTACGTAGAATATATCCCCCTGCGACACCGCCATAAAATGGAGATGAAAAGAGCACATCACGACAACTTCACTTTCTATTCCAAAGAGGATCCAGTTCGGATTAATTAACCATCCCAATAATCGAAAATAAATAACGCCAATCCCCACTGCTATGAAAAGGTTGCGATCTTCCATTTTTCATCTTGGTTGTCTGACCAAACCGTCATCAATAATGAAATAGATTCAGAGAACAGATGCTTCCCAAACAAAATCAGGAATACACATTACGAGAAAAGATGAAATGATTAAATAGTATGGAATAAATAGTTTGGGATAGTTGTTACTCGTATCCAAAGGAACGGCAGCGGATTCTAGTAGCCAAGCTCAGCTTTCGACTCGGTCGCAGACACAAATTGTTAATTGTCGCATTTTTGCGATAAAAGCCCATTCTAACTACTACACACAGATTTGAAAATACACATTATCCCCCTTTTTTCACAGTCGATATTACTACTATAATTTCAAGAGGGGGAACTGCGTATGTTTACAGCGCACTTGCGGTTGCATGGATCGAGGTAGTAGAGGTGGAGAAAAACATCAGTATTATAGATGAGGAAAACAAAGCCATCATCATCGCCGCGATTGGATTCTATCTGTTCGCTATCATTGTACTAGATTGATTTGTCCACAGTGGATATCTAGGTAAGAAGATGGGAAGTTCTTGTTGGGGTGGGTTTGTACTATGTTTTGATTGAGATAAAAAATGTTAACTGGATGTTAGGGTGTTTGTTTGACTGGGTGCGACAAGCTGTAGTGAGTTCAACGATGGTAGAGCTGATAAGCGATTTCCATATTCGACTGAAATTTCTGAATCTCGGCGCCTATGCCTTCGTGTAATCGAAAAGATAACCACGTTCTGATTCTTTGGTTTTTGATTCCCTGTGGTTGCGCTGTTCTTTTCGGGGACGAACCGCGGAGCTACAAACTAATTTTTCAACGGATGAACTCGATTCTGTGCAGAAATTGATGCAGTTAACCTTATTGGATAAAAATAAATCAAATAATACAGAATGAACTCGGCTGTGGCTTCATGTGAGAGTTGAAATTTGTCGAGTCGAAGTTTAGGCCAGTCGCAACTCCATCTAGCGCCTTTTTCTCCCCCTGTCAACGAAACACAAGTCAACTTAAAAAAATTGATAATTAAGTAATTTAGAAATTAACTCCTCATTTATGAGTTTTGTAGTGGAAGACAAGTTCAAGCTCGAAATACGGAGACCTGAATCCGTTGCGTGGCTGAAAGATCAGGGGTTGAATGCGATCAGCCGATGATGGTGGTTTGGTCATGATCTCCAATCACAGACGGAGAGATATTTTCTAAGAATAATATCCATCGCCTTCGCCCGGTGCCGTGGGTATCCCCATGCCTCTCGCGTTTTGCAATGTAGTGGTTGTGTTGAGAGGAGGGAGTTTGAGTGGCCGAAGGCCTCAAAACAGTGTGATTGGCAACAGATCTTGATGTAGCGGCGATAATAAGTGGTTGGAGAATTTGAACATGAAAATGAGACGAATATAGGCACGAATTTAATCTCGAACTACCAAATGAACCGAGAACAGTTGTGTGTTGGAAAAGATCAGAGATAATGCTTTTTGGAAGGGCTGTTTGCGGAGTCTGGGGAGGTGACGGGAGTGGTAAAGTTTGCTTGGATGATTCGAGCCTGGGAACGCCGAGGAAGGTTTGAGATCAACCACCGCCTTCTCCTTTGCCCTTGGGGAAGACGGGGATCGGATGGCGAAAAAGCATCCACGAGTGGAAAGAGAAAGACAAAATATGGTCATTTGACCATGATTTCGTTCTATTTCGTGGTCAACACAACCTAACTCAACTAGTTTTGGCTTACTAGAAGCCATCTTCCCGTGACTTTTTGCTCCTGAGAACAAGAGATCTATCGTAGACATCAAAAAATGTTTGTTGGCTATGTTGCGAGGTCTTCTTCGCTTTGCAATGGGAATGTCAGGGCGCAAGTTGATATTTTCCGTAGTTATGTTTAACGCTTGACGGACACAACAGCACGGCAACTTGGTAACTCAATAATTGAGAATCAGCTCAACAATGACCAGCCAATTCCATAGAAGCCATATCTGCTGGGTTCGGCTAGACCAGTTGTCATCCCGTCAGCGGGAACCATAACATGTAGTCATACATACCGAGTAGACCACCCAGGATGCTGTGGGTCGGGAAGCATTTATAAAACCTGTCAGTGAGCTCACAGCGGCTGCGCTCTGCAACAACCAACGAATACATGCAAGGACCACCAATCAGCAGCTGATAGGAATTATGTAACTGGAGAAGGGAGAGAAACGAAGATGGTCCATAAATTTAAAAAGGGCCGAGTCAGTGCAGAGGCCGCACTGCGTTGGTAAATAAACCCTTATATCCATATCCATCCATAACTATGGGGATAAGAGATCAGCAGCTCTCTCCAGACCGTGATGCTTCACCCACCAAGCACGGGGGGTTCCTCGAAGCGACAAGAACCTACACAGATAGCCCAAGACCAGCTCCCAGCAGCTGCCAGAAGAATATCAGCAGCCAGAGGGGGACGTGGTGGTGCGAATCAAGGGCAGGCCAGACGGCAGCGGACAGAGGGTGATCTATGCGGCGCTGGGCGATGGTATAAAAGGCGCCCTGCCCCGCTGTCTCGCCCACGCTTTCCCTCGCCCAAACTCCCCGTCTGTTTTCCCACGTCCTGCACACCAACCACAACAACATCCACCGCAACCTGCTTCCATCGCCTCGCAGATCTGGTATCCCGCCTCATTGACGCTGATCAACAGATATTCTATTTTATCGATTTGAATCGTTATTCGCAATCCATCGCCATGCCTGCCAAGAAAGCCAGCGCCTCCAAGGCCGCTTCCTCCCACGCTTCCTACAGAGGTCTGTCTTCCACTCCTGATCTTACACCACAACGCCATTCTCTTCTGTTGCCATCAGTATAATTGTGATCGCGTGCCCTTGCTGATTTTAGTTATATAGATATGATCAAGGATGCCATCATCAATGTGAGTCCATCATGTTCGCGCGACGGTCGCTTGTTTTCTCGGCCCCGTGACGCCTAGCTTCTCGAGTGGCCGCCACCACCATGGGAGCTTCTACCCATCGCAAAATTTTGTCGCGCCAATTTGTGTTTGGTTCCTTCTGCTGACTCTACTTCCCCTACAGCTCAAGGAACGCAATGGAAGCAGGTAAGCTTTTCCCTGGCGTTGAATCACTGACCTCGCCGTCGCCGATTTCCCGCTACTCGCTGTTCGCGTTGCTGTTTGTTGACATGCTGGGCTAACGGTTTCCCTCTTTCCCCTTCGCATCCACAGTCGCCAGGCTCTTAAGAAATATGTTCAAGCCAACAATAATATCAATATCACTTCCCAGAGCGCATTCGATACCCAATTCAACCGTGCTGTCAAGACTGGTGTTGAGAAGGGCGATTTCACTCAACCAAAGGGTTCGTCTGTTATATATTCCACTCTCTTTTCATGCCCCAACTGGTTGCTGTTCTAAAATATCCTTTCCACGTCGCGTCCTATATGATGCCT